ATTAAGTTATTCCGGCCCATCAAAAGCTATTTATTCCAATCAGCCCACAAGTTATTCCGGCCCATCAAAAGCTAAGTACCCCAAATTTCCTCATACTTATACATTTAAAATATTTATTATATGTTAGTAGTATAATTATTACTATTATTAATTAATTATATTATTTCCACCACCATTATGGCGGGTTAAAAACCCCGAGGTGGTGAAGACCATTATGAGGGATTAAAATTTCCCGAGGTCGCTAATGATGCATTATTATTGGCATTACTATTTTTATCATCGTCATTAGAGCGGGTCAAAAAACCCCAAAGTGGTGGACCCGAGCTCTAGTCTACTGAACATCTTTATTTGATGATTTGAATTATATTTGGGTCCCTCGACCTACCCTAGCCACCTTTATTTGGTGACTCGGGCATCTAGAGATGAGAGCCGCTACCGGCCGCACATGACATTATGTCTGAGAGCGTTAAACGGTACACCTCGTTCTCCGAGACGCTAATCGCGTCGCCCAAAAGCCGTTGCCATGAACAACGCACCTATTGTATTCCGCTTATTTTTTGGAAATGTAAATAGAAGATACCACGTGTCGTATAAGCAGCCTTCGAGCGAAAGGCCCAGGTCTGCTCCACTTTGTATTTTGTATCAGCGAAGGGCTCAGGCCTAGCTGAGAGAGCACATCGTCCTGGCCCCGTAAGCCTAGAGTGAAACGCTCAGGTATGGCCGACGATGTCCCCAGGACGATGGGCCCGCATACGGCCCACATCTTGAAACGGGAAGCTCACCGCGTCGTCCACGCGCCGGATCGCAGGACGACAGGCCTGAAATCATGGCCGAGGTGACAAAATCCCAAAACTCAGGGATGGGCAACGACAGCCGTTGGAAACCGACCAAAAGTCTAGCCCGCGTCATAAATAGGCGACAGGACCCGCCCTCAGACCACGGACGTTATAAACGAAGTCCGAACCGGCCGAAGGACGAGCACACCCTTCGGCTGAAGCCTGAAAGAAGGATACTCCCCGAAATAGGGAACGGAAACGGAAATAAAAAAAAAGAGAAAAGGAAAAAGAAAAAATAAAAGAGGGAAGCCGAGGACCGCGCGCACTCGCCGTCCTCGAGCAACAAAAAATGAAATCCCCACAACAATACTAAGTACATATCAGGCAAATACTACACATTATGGACGAAGCAAGACCATACATGCGGATTAGACGAGCGCCCAGCGCCGTCCATCATCTTAGACGAGCGGCCAGCGCCGTCCTCCATTTGTAGACGAGCGCCCAAAGCCGTCCCTCATTTTTTAGACGAGCGCCCAACGCCGTCCATCATTTTCAGACGAGCGCCCAGCGCCGTCCTTCATTTTTTAGACGAGCGCCCAGCGCCGTCCATCATTTTCAGACGAGCGCCCAACGCCGTCCCTCATCTTAGACGAGCGCCCAGCGCCGTCCCTCATCTTAGACGAGCGCCCAGCGCCGTCCTCCATTTGTAGACGAGCGCCCAGCGCCGTCCCTCATTTTCAGACGAGCGCCCAGCGCCGTCCTTCATTTTTTAGACGAGCGCCCAGCGCCGTCCCTCATTTTCAGACGAGCGCCCAGCGTCGTCCATCATCTTAGACGAGCGCCCAGCGCCGTCCTCCATTTTTTAGACGAGCGCCCAGCGCCGTCCCTCATTTTTTAGACGAGCGCCCAGCGCCGTCCATCATTTTTAGACGAGCGCCCAACGCCGTCCCTTATTTTCAGACGAGCGCCCAGCGTCGTCCATCATCTTAGACGAGCGCCCAGCGCTGTCCTCCATTTTTTAGACGAGCGCCCAGCGCCGTCCCTTATTTTTTAGACGAGCGCCCAGCGCCGTCCATCATTTTCAAACGAGCGCCCAGCGCCGCCCCTCATCTTAGACGAGCGCCCAGCGCCGTCCTTCATTCTGAGACGAGCGCCCAGCGCCGTCCATCATCTCAGACGAGCGCCCAGCGCCGTCCATCATTTCCCAGACAAGCGCCCAGCGCCGTCCCTCATTATAGGACCGGCTCCTCATCGCCGTTGTCCTCACATCACGACCGGCCCCTCAGCCTCGGCGTGACCATCTATCTCAAGACCGGCTTCCTCAGCGCCGCGAGTCTTGAGCCAGCGATCGGGCTCGCCATTCCTTCCCGGATGGTGACCATCGCCTCTATATGACGATCGGCTTCACCATCGCCTCGTCATCATTATTTGGACCGACTCCTCATCGTCATTGTCCTCACATCACGAACGGCCCCTCGGCCTCGGCGTGATCATCTATCTCAAGACCGGCTTCCTCATCGCCGCGAGTCTTGAGCCAGCGATCGGGCTCGCCATCCTTTCCCGGACGGTGACCATCGCCTCTATATGACGGCCGGCTCATCATTGCCCCGTCATCATATTTCGGATTGGCTCTTTTCATCGCCATCCGCGCATCACGACCGGCCCCTCGGCCTCGGTGTGATCATCTATCTCAAGACCGGCTTCCTCAGCGCCGCGAGTCTTGAGCTAGCGATCGGGCTCGCCATCCCTTCCCGGATGGTGACCATCGCCTCTATATGACGATCGGCTTCACCATCGCCTCGTCATCATTATTTGGACCGACTCCTCATCGCCGTTGTCCTCATATCACGGCCGGCCCCTCGGCCTCGGCGTGATCATCTATCTCAAGACCGGCTTCCTCAGCGCCGCGAGTCTTGAGCTAGCGATCGGGCTCGCCATCCCTTCCCGGATGGTGACCATCGCCTTTATATGACGATCGGCCTCATCAGCGCCTCGTCATCATATTATAGGATCGACTCCTCATCGTCATCGTCCTCATATCACGATCGACCCCTTAGGCCTCGACGTGATTATCTATCTCGAGACCGGCTTCCTCAGCGCCGCGAGTCTTGAGCTAGCGATCGGGCTCGCCATCCCTTCCCGGATGGTGACCATCGCCTTTATATGACGATCGGCCTCATCAGCGCCTCGTCATCATATTATAGGATCGACTCCTCATCGTCGTCGTCCTCATATCACGATCGACCCCTTCGGCCTCGACGTGATTATCTATCTCGAGACCGGCTTCCTCAGCGCCGCGAGTCTTGAGCTAGCGATCGGGCTCGCCATCCCTTCCCGGATGGTGACCATCGCCTTTATATGACGATCGGCCTCATCAGCGCCTCGTCATCATATTATAGGATCGACTCCTCATCGTCGTCGTCCACATATCACAACCGACCCCCTCGGCCTCGGTGTGATTATCTATCTCAAGACCGGCTTCCTCAGCGCCGCGAGTCTTGAGCTAGCGATCGGGCTCGCCATCCCTTTCCGGATGGTGACCATCGCCTTTATATGACGATCGGCTTCATCAGCGCCTCGTCATCATATTATAGGACCGGCTCCTCATCGCCATTGTCCTCACATCACGGCCGGCCCCTCGGCCTCGGCATGATCATCTATCTCAAAGACCGGCTTCCTCAGCGCCGCGAGTCTTGAGCCAGCGATCGGGCTCGCCATTCCTTCCCGGATGGTGACCATCGCCTTTATATGACGATCGGATTCACCATTGCCCCGTCATCATATTTCGGATTGGCTCTTTACATCGCCATCCGCGCATCACGACCGGCCCCTCGGCCTCGGCGTGACTATCTATCTCAAGACCGGCTTCCTCAGCACCGAGAGTCTTGAGCTAGCGATCGGGCTCGCCATCCCTTCCTGGATGGTGACCATCGCCCTTATATGACGATTGGCTTCATTCTTGCCTCGTCATCATATTATCGGATCGGCTCATCATCTCCGTCCGCACATCACGATCGGCCCCTCGGCCTCGGCGTGATTATCTATCCCCAAGACCGGTCTCAGTCATTCCTTCATCGGATGGCGACCGCTGCTTGGACTTTTGGATCAGCCTCATAGTGCTGACGACCTCGCATCACGATCGGCCCCTCGGCCACGACGTCACACCCTATCCCAACACCGGCTTCCTCAGCGCCGAGAGTGTTGGGCTAGCGATCAGGCTCGCCATCCCCTCCTGGATGGTGACTATCGCCTCTATATGACGATCGGCTCCATCATCGCCTCGTCATCATATTACGGACTGACTCCTCATCATTGTCATCTGCACATCGTGATCAGCCTCTCGGCCGCGACGTGATTATTTATCTCAAGACCGGCTCCCAGCGCCGAAGTCTTGTTATAGCGATTGGGCTCGCCATCCCTTCCCGGACGGCGACCGTCGCCCCTATATGACGCACGGCTCATCATTGCCTCATCCTCACATTTAGACCGGCCCCAGCGCCGAAGTCCTTATCTAGCGACCAGGCTCGCCATTCCCTTCCTGGATGGTGACCGTCGCCTTCATATGACGCATGGCTTATCATCGCCTCGTCCCCATATTCGGACCGGCTCACCAGCGTCATCGTCCCCATATTCGGACCGGTTCATCAGCGCTGTCGTCCCCATATTCGGACCGACTCATCAACGTCGTCGTCCTCATATTCAGACAGGCGTCCACCGTCTCGTCCCCCTATTCAGATATAGCGAACATCTTGCGGTCTCCGGCCGAAAGGCTAAAGGAGCCCAGAGTTCGGCCATATATCACTCCGTCATCTTTATTTGATGACGCGAAGCTCATTTGCAGGCCCATCGGCCATATATCGCTCTGTCATCTTTATTTGATGATGAAGAGCTCAGTTGTAGGCCCATCGGCCATGTATCGTTCTGTCATCTTTATTTGATGACGAGGAACTCATTTGTAGGCCTCTGAGCCACATCTTGCTCCGTCATCTTTATTTGATGATGTGGGAGCTCTCATATAGGCCTCTCTCGGCCATACATCACCCCGTCATCTTTATTTGATGATGTGGGGCTCTCATGCAGGCCTCTCGGCCGCACCATCGCCCCGTCGTCTTTATTTGACGACGTGGAGCTCTTATGCAGGCCCCTCGGCCGCACCATCACCCTGTCGTCTTTATTTGACGACGTGGAGCTCTTATGTAGGCCTCTCGGCCGCACCATCGCCCCGTCGTCTTTATTTGACGACGTGGAGCTCTTATGCAGGCCTCTCGGCCGCACCATCGCCCCGTCGTCTTTATTTGACGACGTGGAGCTCTTATGCAGGCCCCTCGGCCGCACCATCGCCCCGTCGTCTTTATTTGACGACGTGGAGCTCTTATGCAGGCCCCTCGGCCGCACCATCGCCTCGGCGTCTTTATTTGACGACGTGGAGCTCTTATGCAGGCCCCTCGGCCGCACCATCGCCCCGTCGTCTTTATTTGACGACGTGGAGCTCTTATGCAGGCCCCTCGGCCGCGCCATCGCCCCGTCGTCTTTATTTGACGACGTGGAGCTCTTATGCAGGCCCCTCGGCCGCACCATCGCCCCGTCGTCTTTATTTGACGACGTGGAGCTCTCGTACAGGCCTCTCGGCCCATCGGCCTTACGTTCTGGTCATCTTTATTTGATGAACCAGACGTCATATTGTGGACGGTCGCTCGACCCATCCCTTAGTCATCTTTATTTGATGACTAGGACTACTGATCATGATGAGCTACCCACATCTAGAGATCGGCCTCGACCATCGCCCCAGCAGACAGGCACCGTTGCAGCTCCATCTCCAGACCGAAGGGTTCACACCTTTTGTTTCATTTTGGGGGCATCCGGTGTACTCTTTTTCCCTCATTAGGATTTTTTCCCACAGGGTTTTTCCTAATGAGGTTTTTAACGAGGCATCTCCCCATCGTGGATCAAAAGGTGTCAACCCTCGGCCCCCTGTTGAAGACATCATCCGACACGCATTACTCTACTCCTCTTCACCTCATTACACTCGCCTCAAGGAGTGGGGGACTGGGAGAGCGGGGGACTTAGCGCCTCCGTTAACCAAAGAAGCAGAATTTCAAATTTTTGTTCATGAAGTTTACTCACCAGACGGCGACAGATCAGCACACAGTTCTACTCTCTTTCGCCTCGAATACTCTCGACTCAGAGAGTGGGGGACTCCTGATAGAGTATATAGACTCGGACCCCCGGGTCTCACGACTATTGGGCCCAGACAGCGGCCCACACACATCTTACGGATATCATTTGTATTATTGTACTGCTTATACGTCATTTGTATGTAACTATGTACTAGATTATTCTTTTATGTAGTTGGGCTACCGGGCCCATATTAGCGGCCTGGCCCATTATTTCCCTATTTATACTCCTCTTGGAGCCATTTGTAACCCTAACTCATAATTCATACACAATATCATTTCTACTATTCATCTTCTCCAATTATCTAGCTCAATCTCTCCATTTTAATATACTTTGTATACCCTATAATCCATCATTTTAACTTTACATTATTCGTTGGTTTATTTCACTTAATATGAGGTCCAATATAATCAGTCCAGTCAACCATTTATAATAAGTCAGTTTATCCTGATCAGCCCAACAAATCAAATTACATGGCCCAGTAATATTATCAAGTAGGAATGCGGCTGCGGCTTGAACAAAAACAAGTACGGAGTAAAACTCAGAGTACGTAGAGTTACGTACATTTCATCGTCGTCCTCTCCATGGTGTGCGATCGAAGCAGAGAGCAGAGAAACTGGCGTACCCTCTTCGTCGACGATGCTGGCGACGATAGAACGACCAATAGCTCCTCCTGCGGCCCGGTGAAATTGGCGGCGCAGTACGGCTTGGCTTGGTTGTCCTCCCCGGAGGCGGCCCTTCTTCTTCCGGCGTAGTAGCGCAGTTCCTCCTCCGGCGAGATCTTCCTCTGGCGACGGATTCAGTGGCTCGTTGCGACGTCCCTGACAGACGGATATCCCTCCGGCTTCGTCCAGAGAGAAGCTCAGTCAATGACTTTCCCTCATTAGAAGTCCGGCAGTAAAGTAGGAATAGTTGAATTTCTCCGGTGTTAACTTTCGGCGATCTGTACGGCGCACGCCATCCTCTCTTCTGGTTACGCAGGCAGAAAGTTTCGCCGTTTACTTAGCCGGTGGACCCGTCCGTTCGATCTCTTATGTACCGAACGAGTACAACATGTGTTTTAGGCAGTGGACGTACGTAGGTTCTTTAGTTTTTGCATGAGTCTTGATACGCAGGCTTTGAATAGCGACCTTGTATATATAGGCCTAAACCGATGATTCTGGAGTGTGCGTTTCATACGTTTAAAAAATCTTTCGCGTTTATTCTTATTTACGTAGTATTAACTTTCCTTTGCAGATGAACGTACGTGTATGGTTATGTAGGTATATATGCGTTTCATTGTTATTGCTTCGTAATTGTATTAGTACAGCATTGCATCGTATGGGTTATGCCCATATATGTATACTACGTATGTAATATGGGTACTATGTATGTAAGATACATAGTATTAGATATGTGTGTGTGGGTATTTAACTTGTTATTATTTCATGCTAACAGTAGTATTGACTTGGTCAAATTTTTTATTTGCTATTAGTTCTATTATTATGTTATATGTAAAATTTAATTTACATATATAGATTTTGTAGACATAGCTCACTAATCGGCTCCTTTTGGTTTACAACTGATGAAAGTTACTCTTGTCATTTTATTCTTATCAGATAGATTATATCTGTTTTATTTTAGTACCAAATAAATTATATCTGTTCATTTTTGTTTCATTTTATTAATATTTTTACTTTTAAAATTTTGAGGTGTCACATTATTACCCCCTTAAAGGATGCTTCGTCCCCGAAGCATTCACTTAGTCAAAGAAGGTTAGGTTTCAAATTACAAAATAGAAGTGTGCTTTAATGTATTGTGATCCATATGTTTAAATAATAAATTCACGTCTTAGTTCATTTTTTTTTTTGCATTTAAAATTTTAGGGTGTCACATTCCACCCCCCTTAAAGAATGCTTCGTCCTTGAAACATAAGCTACAACTGTTTTATTAATACTGGTGTTTTAATCTATCCCCCTTTAAGAGATGCATAGTCCCAAAGCTTAAACTAAAGTCAAATGATAAAATTCTTAAGTATTACAAATTTGGACTTGAGTCCTGAAGAAGAATTGTGTATATTTACGATAGGAACCCAACGCAACTCGTATTTCAGCATTCCCATAATGTATTCACAATTTAAGCCAATCTCCGTAACACGGTTGATTTAGTAAACCTGAAGAGTATGCACCTGAGTGAAAGACGTATATCTTTGTTTCTATTAATAATTTGGACTTGAGTCTTAAAGAAGAATTGTGTATATTTACAATAGGAACCCAACAGAACTCGTATTTCAGCATTCCAATAATGTATTCAAAATTTAAGCCAATCTCTGTAACACGATTGATTTAGTAAACCTGAAAAGTATGGACCTGAGTGAAAGACTTATATCTTTGTTTCTATTTATAATTTGGACTTGAGTCCTGAAGAAGAATTGTGTATATTTACGATAGCAACCTAACTCAACTCGTATTTCAGAATTCCCATAATGTATTCAAAATTTAAGCCAATCTCCGTAACACGATTGATTTAGTAAACCTGAAGAGTATGCACCTGAGTGAAAGACGTATCTTTGTTTCTATTAATAATTTGGACTTGAGTCCTGAAGAAGAATTGTGTATATTTACGATAGAAACCCAACGCAACTCGTATTTCAGCATGCCCATAATGTATTCAAAATTTAAGTCAATCTCCGTAACACGGTTGATTTAGTAAACCTGAAGAGTATGCACCTGAGTGAAAGACGTATATCTTTATTTCTATTAATAATTTGGACTTGAGTCCTGAAGAAGAATTGTGTATATTTACGATAGGAACCCAACGCAACTCGTATTTCAGCATTCACATAATGTATTCACAATTTAAGCCAATCTTCGTAACACGGTTGATTTAGTAAACCTGAAGAGTATGCACTTAGGTGAAAGACGTATATCTTTGTTTCTATTAATAATTTGGACTTGAGTCCTGAAGAAGAATTGTGTATATTTACGATAGGAACCCAACGAAACTCGTATTTCAGCATTCCCATAATGTATTCACAATTTAAGACAATCTCCGTAACACGGTTGATTTAGTAAACCTGAAGAGTATGCACCTGAGTGAAAGACGTATATCTTTGTTTCTATTAATAATTTTGACTTGAGTCCTGAAGAAGAATTGTGTATATTTACAATAGGAACCCAACGGAACTCGTATTTCAGCATTCCAATAATGTATTCAAAATTTAAGCCAATCTCCGTAACACGGTTGATTTAGTAAACCTGAAGAGTATGGACCTGAGTGAAAGACTTATATCTTTGTTTCTATTTATAATTTGGACTTGAGTCCTAAAGAAGAATTGTGTATATTTACGATAGGAACCTAACTCAACTCGTATTTCAGCATTCCCATAATGTATTCAAAATTTAAGCCAATCTCCGTAACACGGTTGATTTAGTGAACCTGAAGAGTATGCACTTGAGTGAAAGACATATATCTTTGTTTGTATTAATAATTTGGACTTGAGTCCTGAAGAAGAATTGTGTATATTTGCGATAGGAACCCAACGCAACTCGTATTTCATCATTCCCATAATGTATTCACAATTTAAGCAAATCTCCGTAACACGGTTGATTTAGTAAACCTGAAGAGTATGCACCTGAGTGAAAGACGTATATCTTTGTTTCTATTAATAATTTGGACTTGAGTCCTGAAGAAGAATTGTGTATATTTACAATAGGAACCCAACGGAACTTGTATTTCAGCATTCCAATAATGTATTCAAAATTTAAGCCAATCTCCGTAACACGGTTGATTTAGTAAACCTGAAGAGTATTGACCTGAGTGAAAGACTTATATCCTTGTTTCTATTTATATTTTGGACTTGAGTCCTGAAGAAGAATTGTGTATAATTACGATAGGAACCCAACGCAACTCGTATTTCAGCATTCCCATAATGTATTCACAATTTAAGCCAATCTCCGTAACACGGTTGATTTAGTAAACCTGAAGAGTATGCACTTGAATGAAAGAAGTATATCTTTGTTTCTATTAATAATTTGGACTTGAGTCCTGAAGAAGAATTGTGTATATTTACGATAGGAACCCAACGCAACTCGTATTTCATCATTCCCATAATGTATTCACAATTTAAACCAATCTCCGTAACACGGTTGATTTAGTAAACCTGAAGAGTATGCACCTGAGTGAAAGACGTATATCTTTGTTTCTATTAATAATTTGGACTTGAGTCCTGAAGAAGAATTGTGTATATTTACAATAGGAACCCAATGGAACTCGTATTGCTGCATTCCAATAATGTATTCAAAATTTAAGCCAATCTCCGTAACACGGTTGATTTAGTAAACCTGAAGAGTATGGACCTGAGTGAAAGACTTATATCCTTGTTTCTATTTAAAATTTGGACTTGAGTCCTGAAGAAGAATTGTGTATATTTACGATAGGAACCTAACTCAACTCGTATTTCAGCATTCCCATAATGTATTCAAAATTTAAGCCAATCTCCGTAACACGGTTGATTTAGTAAACCTGAAGAGTATGCACCTGAGTGAAAGACGTATCTTTGTTACTATTAATAATTTGGACTTGAGTCCTGAAGAAGAATTGTGTATATTTACGATAGGAACCCAACGCAACTCGTATTTCAGCATGCCCATAATGTATTCAAAATTTAAGCCAATCTCCGTAACACGGTTGATTTAATAAACCTGAAGAGTATGCACCTGAGTGAAAGACATATATCTTTGTTTCTATTAATAATTTGGACTTGAGTCCTGAAGAAGAATTGTGTATATTTACGATAGGAACCCAACGCAACTCGTATTTCAGCATTCCCATAATGTATTCACAATTTAAGTCAATCTCCGTAACATGGTTGATTTAGTAAACCTAAAGAGTATGCACCTGAGTGAAAGACTTATAACTTTGTTCCTCTTAATAAT